CAGCAACCGGGAAAGCTGGGAGGCTGCAACTTTGGATATATGTTCCTACCCGTGTGTCATCCTCCCATTTTAAGATCCTTCCCCATACGCGCCTAAACCCCGCGTACGGGACCCTCAAAGAATGTCGGCGGGAAACAACTTCGCGAACCAGACAACGTAGAAAGCTGAAACTTTGCATAGATATTCTCTATGCACGTGCGAGATAAAAATTTTAAACTCAGCTCTCTAGCTCCCCAACCACAGCCTTCTATGCACGTACGAGACAAAGGTTTTAAACTCAGCCCTCTAGCTCCCAACCACAGCCTCAAGCCAGCTACTGAACCCAAAAATCGTTAGCAACTCGGACCTGAACCGCCAATTATGCATGCGAATGAACGTGCATTTTTTGAAAAACGACCGTTCGGGCAATACTTTAGTGAACCCAAAAATCGTTAGCAACTCGAACTTGAGTCGCAATTGTATATGCAAATGAACATGGATTCATTGAAAAACGACCGTTCGAGCAATACTTTCAATTTTTCAATGAACTGAAAATTTGCATATTTCAAAAAATTCGTTCGCAGCTCGGACCTTAACCGCAATCGCATATGTAAATGAACGTGGATTTTTGACAAACGACCGCTCGAGCAATACCACTTTTTAGTGAGCTGGGAATTTTCATTTTTTCGAAAAATTTGCATTTGTCATTTTTTCACAAAGCGAGTATTTGCCGAGAAAACGACGGAACTTCATGCGGAAAACCGGTGATCATGCACCTGGATGTCCGTGCGGCTCTATAATGCACCAGCTTCATCTCAACTGATACCCTTCCTCCTGCATGCCAGAAAGGATCAAAGCACGGCCAATATTAGTCCAAGTGTTAGGCTAAAGCGTAGGGGTCATTCCTGCTAATAGCGATCTGGGACTTTAGCGCAAAAACGCATGTTCGCACTGGAGAGCCTGGTGCGTTCCAGCCTGGGTTACTTTTATTCACAAATTCAGGTTTGTTTTAATTAACTTTTCTTTGTAGTGCTGTGTTAGTTTATTTTCCTCTTTGCTGCTATCTGCAGTTCTTGCTTCGAACTCCTGTCTAGCACCCTTCTTTCCCTCCTGTATCCTGTCCCCAATCCCTGCCTGCAGAGCCGCATCGGGGCACCATCACCTCCAACCAATATTACCGTTTATCGTCCTGAACTCCTTACCAGCAACTTCATTCCTCCCCACTATCCTGGCCTCAGCCGCGCCCTCTGAGCTGTATCTGGGCAACTACCAACCAACACCTCCCAACCACGTCCAGTCCTCCCACCCGTTACCCCCTGGCCAAGCGATCCAACCGCCAGACACTGGGCAGCGCTACTCAGCGCGTCTGGCAAAGTTCCAGCCAGCGGTGCCGCGAAATAGTTTTGGCAGAGATGATAGAGTAAAGCGCTGGAAGGCCCAAGCACCATAGATTACTAGCAAAGCCGAGCCGAGCCCAGTTTTTTATCTAATTTGTCTTTTCGTTAGTCATTCCTCTTTCCTTAAGTGTTTGGAAGTGTGTGTATGAATCCTCCGTACTTTCAACGGGTGATTTTGCATGGGACAGCTGGAGTTTATAGCGTTTTGGGCATGCATTTTGGTGCAAGTGCTGTATGGGATGGGCGAGGAGGAAGGCGTTGAAGGTTGAGCTAGGTGAGTCTTTGTCGCTGTAGTTCGATTCAGCTTTTGGAGTTATTGTTTGAGTTCGCCTTTTCGTCCTCTGTGTGCCGTCTTTGTCAGCCGGTTTCAGTGTGCGTCCCGGTTTTCCTGATGAAATTCTGCTGTGTGTCAGTTGTGAGTTTGATTCAGCTTTTATCCTCGCTGTTTCAGGATTGGCACGAGCTGGTGAGATGCCTTCGGTGCTGCAGTTGCTGAGGGGAGCGGTGCGACGTCGGCACCTTTTCGATCGGGCGCTATCTTCCCGCTGGCGATGGCCGCCTCAGCCGCTTATTAACAGTGTTAGTACATTCTCACGTTACGTGCCTTATTTGAGCGCAGCTTTGTGCTATCTCTGTGTCTGATGCTGTTTGCAGGCTGGATACTGCAGTGCGACGGCTACAGCAGCCGCGGCGCCAGTTAGCCTGTGCATTCCGGAAACACGCGTCACCGCACTACACAATGGTTTTCGAGTGGCCAGCGAAGATTCCAGCCTTTCTACCACTACCGTTTGTTCTTTTTGCTTCTACCGAAACGGCTCAGTATGTTGGACATTGTGTTGTTAAAATTAGCAGTATTTGCAAGCGCGAAGAAAATGGCTCTTACGTGGAACTCCTTTTGTACTTAAGTTACTTTTCCACTTCCACCGCCCACTGCTGCATCACTGACCTGACCTCTGTTTGTCATCACTCTCATTTTGCCTTTTCATGCGTTCTTTGCAGCTATGCAATGCCAAAAACACATATTGACGAGAGGTTGTCTGTGTGTGTGTGTCTGTGTTTGTGTGTCCGTGTGTGCTCTCTCACGGTTTTTCATCTCAAGACCTACAAAAGCTACAGGGCTGAAACTTTGGGAACTTAATTTACATGCACGTACGGGCTCCAATCCCCAAAATTTGCACCATTATCCGCGTAGTACCCGCGTACGGGCCCGCCAAATTTTTTTTCGGGTAAGTTCATAACTCGGGAATCTGAGAAGCTAGAAAGCTAAAATCTTGGGAGGATGTTCCCCGTCCAAGTAGGTATTAGTGAGCTCAAACCCAGCCCCCGGGTAAGTGTGGTACTCGCGTATGAGCCTGCCAAAATTTTTTTCGGGTAAGTTCATAACTCGAGTACCTTAGAAGCTAAAGGACTGTAATTTTAAGAGGATATACCCCGTCCATCTAAGTTTCATTCACCTCAAACCTAACTCTCGGGTATGCGTGTTAAACTCGCACGGGCCCATGAAAATTTTTTTCCAGTAA